AGTCCCCCTGAGGGGAGTTGGCAGGAGCCTGGAGAGGTGCTCTTGGCCCACAAGCAGGGGAGCACCTCCTCCACCCTGCACCTCTGCATCCCTGGAAGTCAGCGGCTTCAGCAGCCCCTCTGCCTACCCAGCTGAGGCTCACATGCAGGTGCATATGGGGAGGTAGCACAGCTGGAACACTGGGATACCATGACTGTGAGGCACTCTCCTGTGCTTGTCTTCTCCAGGGCCCAAGCCAACATTCTTGAAACCCTGTGTGATAAAGAACTTTACAGTTTCTCTCCACCTCCCCTTCAAACAGTGCAAATTTTTGCTGCTGCTCTGCAATTTAGACACATTTCCCTCCCATCTCTGCCTCCTCCCCGTGCCCCATCCATTTCTGCGCTTGTTATTCATGTCCCCGTCACACTTGCACAGTTCCACAGCTTCATTTGAAAAACTGTATTCTGTTTGCTTATTTATTTTTGAATAGGCCATGGTTGCACATAATGCAATAGCCTGGGTGGAAAAGGGTAATAGGGAAAAATAAGTCTCTCTCCCTGTTGTCCCCAGATACCCACTTCCCTGCCCAGAAGCAGCTGTCATTTCAAATTCTAGAGATGTTTAACGGGTAGCATTGGTGGTTCAGTGGTAGAATTCTCAAATTCTAGAGATGTTTAGTCCCTATGTAAAAATAAATACAAAACCATTTAAATCTTTACATCCCTGCAATGCAAGGTGGGTCCTCTTACTCACTCTCTGTCTCTCTCTCTCATTCTCTCTCTCTCTCTCTCATTTTCTCTCTCTCTCTCTCTCTCTCTCTCTCTCTCTGTCTCTCTGTGTGTCTCTCTCTCTGTCTCTCTCTTTCTCTTTCTGTCACTGTCTCTGTCTCTCTCTGTCTGTCTCTTTATGCGAGGAAACTGAAGCAGAGAGTGTAGGTAACTTGCCCAAGGTCACACAGGGCTGAGACTGAAGCTCAGGCCTTCAGAATTCCTTTAGAGATTGTTCATGGGAGTAAGGGACCCACTGTTTTACATCTTGCTTTTGGAGGGGTGGGGTGTAGGGAACAGTATTAAGGTTTGAACTCAGGGTTTCATGTTTGCTACACAGACACTCTGCTGCTTGAGCCACACTTCCAGCCCTCTTTACTCTGATTATCTGGGCAATAGGCTCTCACTTTTGCCCAGGCTGAACTGGTCTGCCTTCCTTCTATTTTATGCTTCCTGCAGTGGCTGGGATGACAGGTACTCACTACCATGCCCAGCTTTTTTCCATTGAGATAGAGGCTTACAAACTATTTTGTCCAGGCTGGCCTGGAATTTAGATCCTCCCAATCTCAGCCCCCTAAGTAGCTCATAGCTTGGGATGACAGGTGCATGCCACTGTGCACAACTGTTGGCTGAGATGGGTTCAGCTGCCCCCACATGGCTGGCTGTCCCTCAGTCTCTGCCTATTCTTCCTTTGGCTCCTGCCCTCCTTCCCAGGGGAGCTGCTTTGCTCTCTGGCCTGGTGCTTTCTGATCAACAGGTCTTGGTCCCCACAGTAGGAGCAATGGCCTAGTTGGAGTAGGAAACCAAGGGCAGCATGGGGTCTTGGGGAAGCCAGTAGACACCGATGGTTGACTGTTCCCAGAGCCTGAGTCCTCTCCCATGTGGCTCAAGTGAGCCTTCATTATGTGGGGCCAAGACACTGGGGGCTGTGTCCTGGGTTTGGGTGATGTCAGTTGTAACTGGGACTTGTCAAAGGCCCTTTGGTTTGGTCTCTGACGATGGGATTTTGGAGCCAGGCAGAGGACCACACACACCTGCTTCAACCTCAGCACCATCCTCCCTGAACTGCACGTGAACAGTAAGTACCTGCCAGCCCATGAGGCAGGTGCATTTGAGTTTCAGAGCCTGTCAAGGAAGGGAGGCTCCACCCAGTCAGGAATGCTGCCTCAGGGGCCACTGTGGCCAGGGCAGGTTGCTAGATGAGGCTCTGAGACCTCAGTGTTTATTGAGTGCTTGTTGGACAGTGTTTTGAGCACTTTTCTACAACAAGGACGAAGCCCCACTTTAGTGCAGGTTACATTCTCATGGGAGGAAGCAGTGTACAAATAAGTCAACATGTTGGGAAATACTGTAAGGGAAGGGACAGAAAACAGAGGGAAGAGATCCTATTTTGAATGGGGTAACATTTAAGTAAAGACACAATTGAATAAGGCAGTAAGCCTTGCACATTCATGGGTAAAGAACATTTTAGAAAGAAGAAACTGCAAGTGCAAAGGTCCTGAGGTAGCAGCATGCTCTGAGTATTTGAGGAAATGGTATTTGGCAAAGACATATTTGGGAAACACTGGACTAGATATTGTCCAGTGTCCCCTCTAACACTGTGGCCTCATAACTATGATCTGGAAAAGGTGTTTTTGGATTTTTTTTTTTTTTTTTTTTGTAATTTGAGGGTTTGTTTGTTTTGAGACAAGGGCCTGGAACTCCCAATGTAGCCCAGGCTGGCCTCAAACTTGCAATCCTCTGGCCTCAGCCTCCGAAGTGCTAAGATAATAGGCATGTACCACTGCACCCAGCTTGGCTGGGGATGTTTTATGACTAAGATGTGGGTTATCCATGAACCTGGCTGCTGAAGGGATCCTTGGTTTGCATGGAACAAGCCATGGATCTGCTGATGGGACTTTAAGTTCAGGATGTCCCCAAAGATGGGACAATAGGAGGTACTTCAGGCCTCTTGCATTACCTGTTTACCTCCTGACGGGAGAAGAGCTATTACTATTCAAATACTTGCTAAGTAACCACAGTGTGCCCTGCAGGAGGCTGGGTGGAGGGGCAAAGAAAAGTCCCAGGCAGTTCCTGCCTGCCCAGAGCTGCAGCATGCTGGAACAGGGGTCCTGAAGTGTGGTTGTTCTCAGAAATATGTGCGTATGTTTGGATACAGAGGTCCTGTGGAGGGAGACAGGAGTTCTGTCCTCACTCTGGGGAACCCTAGGTGGACTTTTGGGACTTCAGAGCAGCTTCTCAGCCCAGCATCACCTGATAGAACCGAGTAAACGTTAGGAGCCCTGAGGAAGGGCAGGACCAGCTACACAGTGGGCAGGGCCCAACCAAAGTGAAGTGCAGGAATCTTGTTCTGGAGAAAGTGCTGTAAAGCACATAGAAAGCTTTTCTTTTCTTATGCTCTCAGCATGTCGTGGTGCTTTTCATTTGCTGTTTAATGTCATTCTTAGTAAGGAACAATAAAAACAGGGTGAATTATACCATTTATCTTTATGTTGTACAATGCGTTTTATGTGCACTTCTCAGAACATTTAGCTTGCATGTGAAATCATGAAATTGCCCAACTCATATTTTGTGACTGTTTCTGGAGGTGTCTTAAGTGGGCCAGGATGAACTCCAGCCTGGCTAGGGAAGGTTGGAAGAAGGAAGAGAGGCAATGCAGAGTCACAAGTGCCCAAGGCCTCACGATGCAAGGCATCGATTCGCACCTGCCCAGGCGGACAATGGCTGGGTTTTGACTTTTACCAGATACTGGACTGCTACACTTTGCCCTGGCCAGGTGTCTCCCTTTCCTAAGAGCCCACCACCCTAACCTGTAGCAGCCAGACAACTCAAAGGTCTTTAATCCTTGGCATCAAGACCTGCTCAGTTACCTGGTCAGGGTGGGTGGGAGGCTTATGCCTGCTAAGACTCAGCTGCCAACTGGCCACCCACTAGGCACACTATGGTGCTGCCAGCTCACGGGCCTCAGTGTGGTTGTGACAGCTGCCACCATGTTCCCCTGACTCAGATCTTCCCTGCTGGGGATGGAGGGCCACATCAATTACAGAGCAGAGACTGGGAGAGACCAGGTGGATCCTAGGGTTCTAGGGAGTGAGGACTGCTGACAGCCCACCCTGGGGAGGCAGCAAGGCAAGCCCATGGGTGAGCTCAGACTCCACCACCCAGGCACTACTTCCTAAACACAGATTCAAGGGCAAATGATGAAGACTTTCAAGATGGTACATGGAACATTCCACCACCGAGCATGGGACCTTGTGTGATTGCACTGGTCACCTGCCCACAAGCTGACCCTGGAGAGAAGAGCAGAGGGACATTCTTCAGGTCACACGGCATTTCTGGATCTCCATTTCCTTTGGGTCAGGCAGGATGAGAAGGTTCTTGCAACAGAGGAAGGGCTTGCAGTAAGGTCACATGTAGATGGGGCTAGGAACCTGCAGAAATAGGATCTTCCTGTTACCTCTCTCCTGGCATTTTGCCAATGTTAATAGACTCTATCCTCAACAACTATTATCAGCCCCTTGCTCAGGTGAAGAAACTAAGATCTAACCGGGCTAAATGACTGAGTGACCGGCTGGAGGTGGCCACATTAGGGTCTGTACTGGGCATCATGGACTTCCGATTTCCCTTTTATCCCTGTATTATGTTCCCCTACCCACCCATCTTGCTTTACCTCCCCCTTGCACAGGGTCCCCATGGCTCCCTAGTCTCCTTCTCATGACATTTTAGCTTTAGCCTCTACCCTGGTCCATCTCTCGGCACTACCTTGGCCAGGGACTCTCACTGGCCCAACCTCCTCACACAGGTCCCCACATAGGTCACTGGTCAGTTTTTGGAGCAGCTGCTCTGGAGCAGGAACTCACCCACATCTGGTCAGTGGTGACTGAGCAGGGGGAAAGAGCACATAGCACAGAAAGAAGCTGGCTGTTTCCAGAGGCCTCTTGTGCAGGGAAGGCCTTGAAGAGTGGTGTGGTTGCCCATCACGAGCCATCCCATCAAGGCCTCATCTGAGGAAGCCAGCACATTCTGCCCCTTTGTCTAGGCCCAGGCTTCTGTTTTCACTCTAAAGCAAAAGCAGATGACCTCTGCTAGAAAGATGGTGGCAGGCCATGAACAGCAGTGGCTGTCCGTGTCACCTGGGGGGGGGGACTTCCTGTGGTGGCTGGGGCTTCCTCACTGCCCTCCTGGCCCACCACTGGTCTCTGGGCAGTCCCCCTTCACACTCGCCTCTCCCTTCTTCCTTCCATATGACAGAGCTCCACTTGGAAGGGAACTTCCTACATCGTCTCCCCAGTGAGGTCAGCAGCCTGCAGCACCTCAAGGCCATTGACCTGTCTCGGAACCAGTTCCAAGACTTCCCTGAGCAGCTCACCACCCTGCCAGCACTGGAAACCATAAACCTGGAGGAGAATGAGATCATAGGTGAGTGGGCCTGGCCCAGCCTGGGGCTGCTGCACAAGGCTTTGCAGGACACCAGGCTCTGGGAGTTCAGCTTTCACAGGCAGGAGTGGTAACTTGAGTTTACTGATCTAAGACAGCCTGGAAACATAGCCACTGTGTGGCCCTGCCAGGTGCTGCCTTGGACACTTGCTTTCACTGTCAGGTAGACGGTCTCAGCTTTTCCCTTCAGCGCAGCCCTGAACTCTCTGGGCCACTGTGGACCTCAAGCTCTCCCTCTCTGGGTCTCCATCTGCCAGCCTAGGCAGTCTCCAAGACCCTTCTGCTGTGACCCTTTTACACTTCTACCTCAATTGCCTGCCTTCACAGTGAACGCCTCCCTGTAGGTAAGCAGGGGCCACTAGGCACACTTGTCAGAACGGCCTGTCCATGGCTCCTAGTGTAGACACCAGGCTTCAGAAATGTGCCTTCTACAAACAGCAGCCTCTGGGGAGTAGGGGCTGGGTTCTGCTGAAGTTGGGGAGCAGGCCCTCCCTCTTCTTGCAGTGCTTAACATAACTCTGCATTTCACCAGAACCTTGCAGAACTGAGTGTCCTCTCCAGCTGGCAGCCTGATCTCCCTGGAGAGAATGGGACACTCTCTGGGTCTCTCTGTGTCTTCACCAACTTGGCTCCCTCCTACAGCTGCCCTGACCCTGTTTCACCTTCTCACTGTGCCACCAACTTTAATGTGGTTCTGATGTCATTGCTGTTACTTCTAATCCCCTTCAATTTTCCTCCTATTTTCATAAGTCCTTTTTATAGTCATTATTCCATTTGATTAGAAGCAAGGGCTTTTGAGTGGTTTGGACTGCCTAATGGGAATGGCTGCCTCATGCAGTGGTGAGAGCTCATCTCTCAGCCATGCTGCTGGCAGGATTCCAGCCCTAGTTGGGTGGGAGGTGGGACTGGCAGACCTTTGTGGTTTGGGGTCTATTTTGTGACAGATAATAAGCTGAGGATTCAGGACATTATGAGAGAGCACAGAGATACTGTAGAAGTGCTAGGAGGAAAACATGATTCCAATCCTCAGCCCCGTGTCTGTGATGGGGTTCCTGTGGCTGCCCTCCAGGAAGCCCCTGGAGATGAGCCATGGCTCAGTCTTGCATGTCAAGGCCAGGATCCCCAAGCATCTTGTCCTGGGTTAGTTCACCTGCATTCAGGCTTCTGCACAGTCTATAAACAGGAGCATGCCCTGAGGTACCTTCTTTCTGTGAGGTGCTTCCTCCAGTGCTGCCCCAATGGCCCAGGCTCTGGCTGCAGGCCCTCCTTGCCTATCCTACCTTCCCTGCCTCTCACTCACAGAATAGCACCCTTCCTGTGTCTCCAGTTTGTTCTACTGCTTATCCAAATGGACCAGTAACTGAGCCATGGATACTGTGGGCAATGCCAAGTCCAGAGCTGAGCAGGCAGCTCAGGAAAAGTGCTGGCCATGGGTGTTCCCCCTTCTGACTGTGGCCTCAGGTCTCTGATTCTCAACTATGGAAAAATGAGAAGGCTACCCCTAGAAGGTAGTCACTGACTGCCTTCTCTAACCATCTTACTCTATCTCTACCCACCCCCAGAAGGTAGTCAGGGATGAGAAGAGGTTTCTCTGCCAGGCTTGGGAGCAGGCTGATTAGACATCTGTATTGGGTGCAGGACATAAAGTGACTTTCACCCAAGCAGGCAGCACAGAGGGTCCAGACTCTCCTAATGCTTCCCCTCCCACAAGGGACAGTATCCCTCAGCAGCCCCCCAGTCCCCAACACACAACAGAGAGGGACTATTGTGGCTCATTCCCACATATACATTGTGCCTTCCTATGAGTGACAGTAATCACTTGTTACATCGGGGTCATCTCACAGCTTACCAAAAACCCTGGTGTGCACATCTGCATCTATCCAGTCTTCACCCGCTATGACTGAGGTAGAGACTGCAGCTCTAAGAGAGTCACCCAGCCTTCATGCCACATGCCTTCTGTACACCTGGGCTGGTAAAACAGGCTACTAGGTTGTTTCTCAGTCAGTTCATCCTATAACACAGCCCCCTGGTGCCTGGCCTGGGCCAAGTTGGGGGATATGGAGATGCTGAGGTAGGAAAGCTGTCTTGTCCAGTAGAGGCCCCTGGTTTTCCCTGCTTCTAGGGGTGCCTAACTGAACCCAGGGAGCCATCCCACTGTGGAAGGCTTGGTGGTTCTCATCACCCTCCTGCTCAAGAGAGGTGGCATATGGAGGCAGTCATTGTCTGTCCGCCCCCCCCCCCCACCCGTTTCTTCCTTTCCCTGATCCATTCTGGCTACTTGGGAGCTTCTCCACTCGCAGACCAGTATGAGGGCCACACTGCACTCCTCATGGTCTTGTTGGAGGATGGCGACAGCACAAGGCAGGCTGGAAGGAGGGACTGTAAACACAGCAAAGGCCAGGGCTGCGTGTCCTTCACTGTGGAAATAGCTTTGTGCTCTTCACTGTTGCAGCTGATCTTTTGCAGGATCTCATTGGAATAATTGTAGTTGGAGCTTGGGATGCCTTCAGAGTGGCTTATCTTTTCCCTTTAGAACCTTCAAAGGAAAAGGAAAATTAAAACAATATTTTTATGAGAAATATCTTTGAGACGCATGAATTGCCTTCAAGCTTTAGCTTTAGTAAGTAGAGAACAAACAGCTCTGAAGTGAGCCCCCAAATGCACCAGAAGGACACCCACGCTAATGGACCTGTGGCCTGGCTCCTGGATGCTGGAGGCTTGCAGCATCAGGAAACTGTCAGGATCAACTCAGTCATCCTGTTATCCCAATAGTGCTGCCATCTAATCTTCCTCTGCCCTCTGGGCTGTTCAGTGGGGAGAGGAAGAGTGAGGGCTCCATTCCATGGAGGAGAGAAGCCAGGGGTCTCAGCAGGACATGTAGGCTGGAAGGGACAGAGACATCTCCCAGCCCCAGAGATGGCAGTGCCTGTCCTGAGTGCTCAACAGTAGCTGGATGCCCCAAGTGTCATATCTTTGTAGCATGTGATGCCCATGCTGCTGCTACCTTGTACAGTTAGTCCTTTAATCTTCTTTGCCCTCCCCTCTCTGGAATCACATGCTTCTCACTCCCACAGGCATTGAGCATAGCGTCTAGTATACAGCAGGCACTCACTTGGTTGGGAGAGCAGTTTAGAGCAGAATTTTCAAAGCCTCAGAGCTCTTGTAACATAGCTGAGACCCAATAAGGTGGATTATCTCACTTGCCAGCTATGATCCACCAGAGAATTGTAATGGCAAATTAATGAGTTGAGACAGCAGTTTTTAATAGAATAGTAAATGTCAGCACATGTCACATGGAGCATGGTAATTACTATTTTGTGACTTTTAATTCCAGTTTTACTATGTGCATTGCCCAGGTATACACTCTCGGTCATGACGAACAATTACATTTCTTACTGTGGGTCATGATGAAAAAAATAATCAAAAAGTATTCCATAAGTTGTCCTGCAGAGATCTGGGGGTCACTCTTGGCCAGCCTAGCCACCTGTCTCCCCTCACTCACCCCCATTCATGCTCCCAGCCACGTCATACAATCTTCCCTCTCAGATTCCCCCTACCCTCCCTTAGCCTGTGTTCTCTGTCTGGAAGTCCCTCCTCATATCTGCCCAAATTCCCTGAGTCTGAAGATGTGGGCCCAGTTCAGATGAACAGGAAGCAGAGCAGGCCATGAGTCCTCTTACCTTCCCCCAGCTGCCTCTGAGTGGACACACACGGCAGCAGGTGCCTCCCACCCAGGTGGAAAGCTCCCTGCATCCTTGGGGACTGGCCTGTCAAGACACAGCATTCCGAAGAGGGAGAAGGGGTTTGTACCTTAGATTGTTTATTCATGCAGTAGTCATTTGCAAGTTCCTGGGGTATGGGGCGACAGTTGCTATTTCTTTCTTTCTTTTCTTCTTTTCTTGGCAGTTCTGGAGCTTGAACATAAGGCCTCGTACTTCCTAGGACGGTGCCATACAACTTTAGCTGTGCCCCACCCAACCCTTTTTTGCTTTAGTCATTTTTCACATAGGGTCTCCCATTTTTGCCTGAGACAGCTTTGGACTATGATCCTTCTATCTACAGCCTCCCAAGTAGCTGGGATTACAGGTGTGGGCCACTATACACAGCTTATATATCAGAGATGGGGATCTCACTAACTTTTTGCCTGGGCTGGCAAAGTAGAGATCTTCCTGATCTCTACTTCCTTAGTGACTGGGATTACATGCATGAGCCACCACACCTGGGCCTAATTCCTATATTTTCTAAACCAGAAAGTGGTACAGTTGTCCCTTGGGAGATTGGTTCCAGGACCCAAAGTCTGTAGATGCTCAAGTCTCTTATATAAATGAAAGTACTTGCATATAACCCATGTACATCCTTCTGATATATTTTTAATTGTCCCTAGGTTACTTATAATATCTAATACAATATAAATGGTGTGTAAATAGTTGCTATCCTGCATTATTGAGAAATTAATGGTAAGGAAAAAAGTCTGCACATACTCAGTAGAGACACGGTAGTTTTTGATCTGCAGTTGGTTGAATCCTTGGATGCAGAGGACACGGAGCACCAACTGTACGTGGAAATATTTATGAACATTACTGTCCCTGGAGAGGCAGGGGCTGTAAAGACAAATGAGCTGCGTGTCCTGACCTCACATGCAGGTGTTAGTGTGAGCAAGAGTCAGACCACCAGTTAGGATATGGCCACATAGCTGCAGGGGACGTTGGGTATGTCATGGCCTGCCAGGGAGAGGACTCTCAGGCAGAGGATGGCTGTCTGTCCTTGAGGGATGGACTCACAGGAGGATCCCTATCTGTGACTAATGACATGGGTCCATGAAGATGAGGGAGTCAGCTCTTTCACTCCAGTAACTGACACGTGACTTGAAGGCAGCACAGCAGAATCATGAACTCCCTCTCACTCGCTGCTGCGTAGCAGTTCAGTGCTGGAACATGTGGGGGTGAGGAGAGAAGCACGTATTTGGAAGACTTCATCTTGCT